AAAACTAAATGAAAAATGCATTTCATATAGAAATGAGAAATGAGAAATGAAAAATGCTTGCGATGCCTGAGGCATCGCTGTTTAATTCAATAACGTGGCCAGGTCAGACTGGTTTGAATATGCTTTCAGGCAGGTCAAGTATTTCAGTTGAACTTGGCGTTAGCCAAGCCTTTAGATGACTGAGCGGAACAAAGGCAGCAGCTTGCTCAGACAGCCGAGTCGTCAGTCAGTTGCCAGGGCGACTCAGCTCAAAGAAGCTCTGCTGGAATTTATACACAAATTGCACTTGAGTGCACATGATATCTGAGTACAGAGCCACGGGGTGCCGGAGGAGTGTCTTTGACGAAGACAACTCATACGAGTTGAGTTGAGGTTGGCGCTGACTGTGTCTGCCCCTGGACAACAGCTCTCTCTCTCTCTCTCTCTCTTTCTCTTTCTCTCGTAATTAATTCCATTGAATCAAAGCAGAGCCATGGCTAATTATAGTTTACTTGAAGCTTTGACATCAACTTCAAAAACTTTGCCTCTCCCACATTCAAAGAAATCGCTCTGACCCGCATTCAATGAGCCGACGCCTGATTCATTTATGGCTATCATAAAAGACGTGGTTTATTCACAAACTTTTTGGCACATGAAAGGCTTGACAGTGATTAGAGCAAGGCAGCACAATGGAAACTCTCTCAGTGGGCCATACATCCACGACTACTCGAACTAGAATACTGGATATAGCACCCACTAAAAGATGCCAATGCGTTTGCGACGATTCTGTTCGTATTGCTTGGCAATGCGCGTCAGGTAGAGGCCGTAGCGCAGCAGCTGACAGCAGCGTTGCACCTGTTCGTTGTGGCGCTTCAGCTTTATGACGCGCCTGGCCGTGCAGTGCTCGCGCCTCTTCACATGATCCTGCATGTCCTTGACTATGTGCCGCCGCAGCGCCAGCAGGGCGTTGTCTCTCTTGGCTAGACAATCAGCTGTTTGCTTGGCCACCTTGGCCAATCTCTCAGTGAGTCGATCGACGCGCTCCCTGAGGATCTCATGCCTCCGATTTATGGCTCTCTGGTATTTCTGCTCCCTCGACTTGGCATCGAATCTGCGACGAAAGCTCAGCAGGCAAGCTGGAAAATACTGCGCCGTCGCATCCTTGATGTGCACATAGAAGGACTCGTTGGGCTCAGCTATGGGCTCGGGCTGTCTGTACTGCTCATAGTGATGTGGACGGGCGCAGTTCAAAAAGTCTTCTATATCGTCGTACACCCCATTATAGCTCATTTCCACATTTGATTTCGTTACAATTTTCCAAAGATTTCCAAAATGTTCAAGGCAGTAAAATACATGGTAAACTTGTTTAAATTTAGTTAAGCAAGAG